TGGAGATTCTCAGGTGGTCTTCCTTGATCAAACCTGATTTTTCTTAACTCAGAATGAATCCATAGCTTCTCATTTTCTATGGAAACAAAAGCAAAACCTCTTCTCCAAAGTAGCATATCTTTTGACTTCAATTTTGAAGTCAAGGCATTTACAAAATATTTATATTTTATTAATCCAGCAACATTTATAAACAAATATCTTTTGGCAGCTGTTACTCCTTCCTCAGCATTCAAACAATTCAAAGAGGACATAATAGCATACAGTATCCAGACTCTCTGTGTATTTTTCATCTTTTCATGGTTTTATTTTAACCTCTATTTCTTTTATTTTGGTTTTTTGAGACAGGGTTTCTCTGTGTATCTTTGTCATGGAACTCACTCTGCAGACTAGGCTGTCCTTGAATTCACAGACATCCACCTGCCTCTGCCTCACAAGTACTGGGATTAAAGGTGTGTGCTACCACATCTTGAATTCACAGAGGTCGGTGTCCCTCTGTCTCCCAAGTGTTGGGATTAAAGGTGTGTACCACCACACCCAACTACTCTCTTTCTTTCTTTTTTTTATTTTAAGGACTTTAACCTTTTTCTTTTCTCTCCCAAGCCTGCACATATTTTTTTTTTGATTTTTGAGACAGGGTTTCTCCGTAGCTTTTTGGTTCCTGTCCTGGAACTAGCTCTTGTAGACCAGGCTGGCCTCGAACTCACAGAGATCTGCCTGCCTCTGCCTCTTGAGTGCTGGGATTAAAGGTGTGCGCCACCACCGCCTGGCACCTGCACATATTTTTAACACACTGTAAACCATTCATCTTTGAATCTCTCTTTACTGTATATCTCTCTTTTTCTTTTAATTTGCTAGGTGATCTGGCTAGGATTAAAGTTGTGGCTTTGATGGCTGGATCCAGCCTGTTCTTTAGCTTTCTGAGATTCCAGCCTCATGGCAGAGGGACCAGCTGTAGCCATGTTTATTGCCACAACTCTATGGCGTTTCAAGGCCCCTGCCACCAAGCAAGCTGCAGCAGTTGCTCACCAACCACACTCAAATGCTCCGTAGCTGGACCTCCTGCCTGAAAGAGTCAGAGTTTGCTCTGGCAGGATGGCCCAGAAAGTCAGCATTTTCTGACTGACAAACAGTGTGGCTTTTTTCCTGCTATGGCTGAAAACTGAAAAGCATTCCATCAGCTTTTCATCAACACCATTTAAGAGTTTCGTGGCAGGGCCTCTTAAAAGAGCTGCAAGGTTTTACATCTAAAGCTGAGTCAGGAAGCCTCTCTTAAGTGAGAGCCTTTGCCTTTAGCAAGCAGAGCCCACTGGAGAAAATGCTGCTATCAAGAAGCCATGCTTAACTCTATTCTTTTCTGTCTAGAATTACTTTTCAAGCTCTCTCAAACTTTATGTGGATGCAGTTGTCCACATTAGGCACCTTTTAGCTTTACTTTAAATTCTATTTCTTTTATTTTTACTTTTAATTTTTGGATTTTTGATAGAGAGTCTGGATACTGTATGTTATTATGTTCTCTTTGATCAGGTTTGATCAAGGAAGACCACCTGTGAAATCTCTGGTTGGAACAGATGGCCCAGATGTCAGAGTTCTACATCCAGAACAGATTCAAGACAGCTGCCTGAGATGATCAAGCCTCACAGGATACTCGAGTCAGGACTTGATTATAATTCTAATTTTTTTTTTAGGTTCCCGTAAGATTATCAGTGCCTCCAACCAGCAGGAAGTAGCCTGGAAAACTATGCCCACATTCCCAAAAAATGGACTTATGGATATTTTCCTTTTTTAGAATGTTGGTTACAAGTTGTTATGGTTAATGATCAGAAGAAAAGCTAAACAAAAGATATTAGATTCAGAGTTCTTGTTACTTTTTTTTAAAAAGAGGGGGAAGTGGTGTGAGACATTGGTCTGTATTCTGTCAATTATATTTTAAATAAATGCTGATTGGCCAGTAGCCAGGCAGGAAGTATAGGCAGGACAACCAAATAGGAAGTAGAAGCAGATCAAGGAGAACAGGAGAATTCTGGGAAGAAGAAAGATAGAAAAATCTGACCCAGCCACAGAAGAAGCAAGATGTGACTGCCTCACTGAATAAGGTGCTGAGCCACGTTGCTAACATAGGCAAGAATAATGGGATAATATAAGAATCCTAAGCTAATGGGCCAATCAGTTTATAACTAATGTAGACCTCTGTGTGATTTCTTTTCTTTTCTTCTTCTTCTTTTTTTTTTTTTTGTTTTTTTGAGACAGGGTTTCTCTGTAGCTTTGGTGCCTGTCCTGGAACTAGCTCTTGTAGACCAGGCTGGCCTCGAACTCACAGAGATCCCCCTGCCTCTGCCTCCTGAGAGCTGGGATTAAAGGCATGCACCACCACCGCCAGGCCTCTGTGTGATTTCTTTGGGACTTAACAATTGTGGGAACCGGGCAGGACAGAAAACCTCAGACAACAATATTTATCGTATCATGGCTGGCTCCTACACATCCAGCGAGAAGAGATTTTGGCATTACAGCAGTCATATTGGCAGCCATTGCTGTGGCTGCCACAGCGACTATGATTCCTGGAGTTGCCATTAGTCAGTCAGTTGCTTCTGCTAGCACAATGGATACCTTATCAGGGCAGATTTCAAATGCCTTGACCACTCAAAATAAATATTGCAGTTAAATTTGCAGTTGGTTTTGGTTCAAGACCACTGTAAGGTTACAACTTAATAAATACAGTAAAAATGCTTAAGGCTACTATTCATGGACCCTGGAGTGCACAATTTACAAATTGGCTCATAAGATTATTCTAGTTAACAATTCCAGGGTTCTTCCCACCAGCACCTTACTTAAAGGGCTCCAATTTACGGGCAGACTCATTAAGGATTGAGTAGGCACAGCCTCCTTAGGAGTGCTTATCTGTGCTGGAGCATCATCTTCATGTTTTCATGGTACCAGAGCCAAAGGCAAGCTCAGGTCAAAGTCACTACTTGGTGAGTCTACTTAGCTATTGCCCCGGAGGATCTTTCAGCACAAATCTGGCTGAACATTGGCTGACTAGTGAGCCAATGACGGGAAAGGTTTTTGGGGTACTGCCCTAACCTAAAACAGGAAATGTGTTTTGACCTCAATGCTTTCACATGATGGGTAAGGGGTGTTGCCTGACATCAATGCCACCAAGGACAGGCATAGTCATGTATTTTATATAAAAGGGGGGCCTGTAGGGCCCACGGGTCTACCCCTGCTCCCAGGGTTCATCTTGAGGACAGTTTCTGGCCAGACATTTTGTTACATTTTCCGGCTAAACATCCTGTTTGTTCCTGTGTTCCCTCTGCCCTGCCTGGTGGTTAGCTATAGGGCATTATTTACTCCATCTTGGCTGTGGTAATTTCCCACTTGTCTGGGAGGAATTCCATTGTGCAGCAGTTAGGTATATAAGGGATTTCCTAAGCTTGAATAAACGACATTTGGCATTATCTCCTCATCAATGTTCTTTTAATCTCCAGGCCCTTGCCCAGCTCAGGAACAGTACAGTGGTGCACGAACTGTACCATAGAGAGTAACACAGGTGTTACACTAAACCATTGAGACATCTCTTCAGCCCCTCTTGATATGATTTCAATATGTTTGTTCCTACAATCTCAAATTACTCCCAATAAGTTTATAGTTTGGCAGTCTTTCTATTCCTAGGCTTGTCATTTATCCATCTATGCATTGTGATGTGTACATTCAGGGGGCAAAGTGGACACCTTCAACATGGAGTCAGATGCTGCTGCAAAATAAAGATTCTCAGGGCAAGACACAGCCTAAAAAAAATACTGCTTTACAGTCAGGCAGTGGTGGCGCACGCCTTTAATCCTAGCACTCAGGAGGCAGAGGCAGCAGATCTCTGTGAGTTCAA